GGCGGGAAACAAACTTAGGGGCCACGCACATTCTCATGCCGTCCAATGTTCGCCGTGGACTCGACAGCCGCACAAGAGTGTTCGTGTCCACGAAAATGCGGTAGAATTCGTGAGGACGCACCGTTTTAAATGCAGTGCAACTGCCGAGGTCTACAGCAGAGAGCCGTACCCAATCAATTATACGTAGCAGCAATGAATAAAGGAACCACGGGACACGCACCAAGACATTCATTCAGTCCGGCTATACCAGCTTATCCACCTGATGGTTAAGCCTCGCCGTGTTTCAGGCGCTTGCCCTCTTGCACGGATCAGAGTCGACTCAGATTGAGGCGTGGGCTTGCGTACAATGCTTGTCTCGGACCTGGGGAGGATCGCAAACCGAAGATAAGGTTATTGGAAAGTAAGCCGAACGAAATACGCCAAGAAAGGAAGCGGAGGGACGGAAAATGAGGAGGTTTTCCATCGCGCTCTGGGAATCGCATGCTTTGTGCGCTCGCGCCGGTCGCGGACAGTTTATTGGGCATCCGGCGGGAGCACGCGAGAGGGATATGGGGCAAGGGAGTAACAGTGTAGTGATTGACGACTTACGAGTAGTTGCTCGACCCTTTCTGTGCACAGAGGCGAATGCACGGCCATCTATGCCCATCGCCGGAGAGCTCTCATGCTCCGCGCACGCCACAATGCGGTCCCGGTCCATCGCAGCTGCGCGATTGGGCACGATCTCAGCGCTGTATAAAGAGCGATTGGAACGTACATTATTTCGCAGCAATCTGCTCATCGCACATCAACGAAAATCGTCCATGAGGGCTTCGCGGTGATAAAGGAGTGCTGTATACCGTTTCAGGTGCGAATGGGGCCCGTGTCAATGACGAGGGATGAAAAATAATGACGATAACGCACCTAAGTCGATTCCCTGACATTTGCGCGCTGTGGCGACCATTCTGCAGCAAATTTTGCTACCTTAATGTGTATATTGGAGCAATGAGGAGTCGATTTGAGCATTCCAAAAGATTTGAAGCAAATGGAAGAGACTTACACGCCCTTCTTGGTGGAACACTTATTTCGGCGTTGGAGTGTCGGTTTCTCCAAAGGTAGCCTCAAAACGCGAGGGCATGGTGATTAGATGGTGTAACAACCTTTTGGGGCTGGTTAGAAGAGGCAAAACGAGCGGGACCGAACTTGGTGGACGCGACGATGGTGGAGAAGGGCAAGAGCGATTGACAGGTGGCTGTGCGCAACACACACAAACAACGCGCCAGTCGTGTTCGAAGTTGGTTAGACACCCGTTCTTTGCTTTTCCAGACGTCTGCTGTGTTTCAGAATATATTGAGGACATAGTCGGTATGTAATTGGAGTGTACGCATTCGTCGAAACAATTTTTATACTTGACATAAGTAACTAGAGTATGCGGAATTGGAGTACAGTGGGGGGAAGAGTTACTTGAGTATATCGATCACAGCCAGCGAGTAAAAAATTAAATTGTACTATGCACAACATAATGTCCAGTGGATTTCCGAAAGGAATCGAGAGGAATCACGACTAGATGGTAGGTGTCAGTCTCGCGTGTTATGCATCCAGTCAACGGAGACTTACATGCATCGGCGACGAAAATGGCGCAGGATGAGACATAGCACGAGGAACCACATCATATTTTCGAGACTCCTGGCTGGCGAGAATATGAAAGCGGAGATACCAATCAATCTTTACCGTCTGACAAGCACGTTGAGCCGCAGCATTATTTCCGGATGTTCTGCGTTGCAGCAAGATCAATCGCAAGTAGAAAAAAATTAGAAGGGCAATAAGACCTTGGATCTCGTGCTACAGACCTTGGCCGGCATCGGTACGGAGGGCTCATTTTTCGGCTGTTGAAGGAGTAATTTCTGTGCGTTTTCCTGGGGTGTATCAATCCATACTCGAATCATACACATAATATGTACCTTTTCCACAGTGGATTTCTTCTTCTTGATGATCGGCACATAAAGGTCGTCAGATCAAGGGAAAGATGTCTACCAAAATCCTACCGGAGGAAAATTCTGAAGTGTGAGCTTGACCGGATTGACCGCCGTATCAATTGGCGAGGCCTTTCTGGCCGAAGCTGAGGAAGGAATGTAAATTTAAGGGTACGATCCACAAGAGACGAGCACTTGCTACCCGCAAAGATCTGATCTTCTCATGGCGTCGGGAAAGGAATTGGGGTTTACGGAAAAACGAGTAGACTTGATACTTGATGTACTTCAGAAAAGCCAACCAGATCGGATTCCCACCGAGATCATCGCTGTCACGGGCTATTTGCAAGAATGTCGTTCTGCATTGACGCATTCGGGGATGCCATCAAAGTCAACTGAGGTCGGCCAGCCGCGTACTTGAGCCAGTGCGGACAGATTTTCGTGTTTGATCTGCTCGCAGATTTGGTTCGTTACCGTACGATATCCAGCAGTGCTTTTGCTGTCCTTGGCTAGTAGATCTCGTTGTTCAACAAATAAAAGCACTAGGGTTTGACTCGGTCGAGAAGGAACGGGATCTTTGCAGTAATTCTGTGGACAAATGCCAGGCAAGTTGTCGGGCGGTGGAGTTTCGGTGAATTTGACGAGAGGTGGGCTTGGATTTGGACTGTAAACCACATCAGACCTGTTTTTGGGATGACAAATATCGGAGATGGGGAGATGTGTGTTTGGGGTTGGGCCGGTTTCCATTTCGGCAAAAGGAGCCAGTTCATCAGATTCAGGCTCAGACTCTGACTCTGATGGTAAAATAGAGTCCAGAGGAGCATTACGATAGTTTTTGCGTAGGGTTCGCTTCGTTAGCAGCTCACGAGAGTGGACAAAAACAAAGCCGAGAGCAAGAAGATCGATGCCGCGCTCAGGCTAGTGGTTAAGACGAGAGACACAGGTTGCAACCTGTGATTGAGGCTGAGAAGGAGCGGAAGATGGATGATTGGGGGAGGCACCGTCTGGAGAAAAGGCTGCGAGAGACGCGTCAATGAAGAAGGAGACGCGTTCGGTCGTAGTAGCCGAGGCTCTTGATCGGGTCCCGAAGAGGCAACTGTCAAAGGTTACCCCGTTAAGTGACAGATAGGGGTCGTAGGCTGCGAATTCAGGTATTTTATTCACAAGTTCTGATATGTATTGTATCCAGAGGTAGTACCCAAGAAGTACTCAAAGGTAGTACCCTCAAAGCACTACCAATTATTGACATCAAATGTAGTGCTTTTTTGGCGTAATTAGTACCTGCGCACTCAGATGTAGTACCTTTACTTTACACAGTGAACTCCTTTCGAATTCCTATCAATCGAGCGCAGGCGCGGACCATCCGCTGTCGGGTCTTCTTCTCATACTTACACCTTCATTAATAGGACCATTTTCCACCAAATTTCGCTTACCACAAACAAACAAAAAAAGACTTGGGACCGAGAATGACCCAGGCTCGAATCGAACGAGCAACTCCCGCATAATACACACTCTTTTTTTAATTGGGAGCGGGTACGGACCATCCGCTACCGAGTCATATTACCTGCCTATGAACCTCGTTAGATTACATAGCGTTGAAAGTGGTGAATGCATTTGCTTGCCAGCGAAAAGACCGTCAAAACGCCGCACGTTTCGAACAAACACTTCCCGCACAAATATTTCGAATGTCTTGGAGCAACCGAGCGCAGGCGCGGTCCAACGCACGAGTCTTCCCATGGTACCTCTGAACTCGTATCGTAAATTGACCCAGAAACAACAAAAAAAATGCCTTCTACTACGAATAGCCCAGGCTCGATTCGAACGAGCGAGTGACGCGTCATACGCCACAGGCCAAAGCGGGTTCGGACCATCCGCTACCAGGCCTTTTTCTCATACTAGAAACATTTAAGCCAGCTAGTCTACAACTCGCAGTTACTTGCCAGAGGTAACAAGGAAAAAAAAACCTGAACCCATCAGACCAGGCTCGATCGAACGAGCAACTCCCGCACAACAAACAAATCCAAGTAACCGACGCAGGCGCGGACCATCCGCTACTGGACCTTTCCATGGTACGCCTTAGCTCGCTCATCATAAGAATTAAACTGACCTAGAGAGCAAAAAGGCTACCTTGCCGTGATATAGCCCAGGCTCGAATCGAACGAGCGACCTCGCATAATTTGGATTGCCCTCAAAGACAAGGCGGGTGCAGAGCATCCGCTACCAGACCTTCTCCTCATCCCTGGAAACGTTGTTAGCTTTTGCTTACCAGAGAGAAACAAAAAAAATTCGATCAACTCCAGTCTATGGCCCAGGCTCGAATCGAACGAGCAATTCCCGCACAAATATTTCGAACGCTGTTGAAGAGCAAACAAGCGCAGGCGCGGACCATCCGCCACTGGGCCTTCATCTCGTACCTGGAAACGTCGTTAGTTGGTTTGAAGTTATGCAGAGAGAAACAACAACAAAAAATAGAAACCCCAATGCACGACCCAGGCTCGATTCGAACGAGCAGCTCCCGCATAACACACTCTTTCTCTTAATTGGGAGCATGTGCGGACCATACGCTACTGGGCCTTCTTCTCATACCTACATCCTTCAGTATCAGTGGGATTTTTCACGAATTTTTCGTTTACCGCAAGGGAAGAAAATAAAAAGTGGAGAAAATAAAAAGTGGAGAAATGCGCATGACCCAGGCTCGAATCGAACGAGCAACTCCCGCGTAATACTTCTTCCTCTCTATGTTAAGGGGAGTGGGTGCGGACCATCCGCTACCGGGTCATATTTGCCTGCCTGTGAACCTCGTTAGATTACATCGCATTGAAGTTGAATGTATTGCTTGCCAGAGAGAAAAAGACCGCCGAAACACCAGCACGGCCCAGGCTCGAATCGAACGAGCACCTCCTGCGGAATGTATGCGAAGCCGAACTATTTATCGCAGGCGCGGACCATCCACTGGGCCTTCTTCTCATACCTGGAAACGTCGTTAGCTAGTCTTTGTTTTCAACTCGCAATTGCTCGCCAGAGAGAAACAAGAAAAACGATCAAACCTACGCATAGCCCAGGCTCGATTCGAACGAGCAATTCCCGCATGAATATTTCTTTACCAAAGAGCAACCGAGCGCAGGCGCGAACCATCCGCTACCGGGCTTTGGTCTTATACTATGACCTTTTGTATCAGTGGGATTTTTCATCGGATCTTTCGCTCACCACAAAAAAATGGAAAGAAAAAAACCTGCAGAAAGACGAATGACCCAGGCACCGCTGATTATCAGCATAACATTTGGATGAAATTTGAACAAGAAAAACGAAAACAAGACTCCGAATTGAGAATGACCCAGGCTCGAATCGAACGAGCAACTCCCGCATATTGTTGAGTCTTCTTGATGAAAAGTGGGTGCGGACCACACGCTACCGGGTCATATTTACCTGCCTGTGAACCTCGTTAGATTACATAGCATTGAGGTTGAATGTATTGCTTGTCAGAGAGAAAAAGACCGCCGTAACACCAGCACGGCCCAGGCTCGAATCGAACGAGCACCTCCTGCTGGATTTATTCGAAGTCCTCAAGGCTTAATATTTATCACAGGTGTGGACCTCCCGTCACTAGGCCTTGTTCATGTACCTGTGAACTTCGTTAGAGCAGCAGTCAATCCGAATTTTCGATGGACAAATGGAATAGATCATTACTTTCTCCGGTGTCATGTATTCTAACGGTAAGTCACTTTGTGTGTGCTTCCGACTCTGGAAACTTGGAATTTTCACCCACTAAGAAAAAAAGAGCAAACCTCTGTACCATGGCCCAGGCTCGAATCGAACGAGCGGTTCCCGCATGAGGTGTTGAGATTCCTCAACTATCACGGGTGCGGACCTTCCGCTACCAGGCCTTGTTCGCCCACCTATGAAGTTTGCTAACCCACCTCCGAACTGATTTTCAACAGCCGCAGATTGAAAGAACATCCCACGAGAATCTTCGATTCTCCACACCGCCGGCCAACGTACTTTCAGCGTCACGTATTCACCACATTCCCAATGTTACTTGCCGCGTGCAAGATGGATGGATTAGATAGAACGCGCCCGTCCGGGGATTCGCGAATTTTGACGCGGGAAGATTCCAACATCAACATTCTCCCCGCTGGTGCCGCTGCTACCGATGTTCTGGCTCGCCCTCGAAGGTTCTGCTCAGCTAATGCCCTGGCGTGCCGCGCGCGATGACAGATGGATAGTGCAAGGCGGTGTGGATGAAGAACAAAAGGAAGTTGAGGAAGCGGTGCAAAGAAAGAAAAGAAGGGTGAGGCGGTGTGGGTCACGACCTTGGCCCGTGCGACATCCGGTATCCGACGTGTCACATCCGATCATCTGCGGGGCTTGCCGGCCTTTTAACGGTCCAGCCATCGATCGATACCGGCAATCGATCCTCTCTCTCCCAAACTACCACCACCATGAGCGACTGCTATGTATGTCCTCGTTCTTGTTCTCCTTCTCCTCGTCTCTTTCCGATGTCCTCGTCGTCCTCGTTTCACCTCATATACCCTCCTCTTATTCTCGTCTTTTACCGTGCATTTCTCATTCATTTCCTCGCAGTTCGACATCACCATCGACGGCAAGGAGGCTGGACGCATCGTGTTCAAGCTGTACGACGACGTGACGCCGAAGACCTGCGACAACTTCCGCAAGCTCTGCCAGAAGCTCGACGTCAACGGCGCGCAAAGCAGTGACGGCTACGCCGGCTCCAAGTTCCACCGCATCATCCCCCAGTTCATGCTCCAGGGCGGCGACTTCACCCGCCACAACGGCACCGGCGGACGCTCCATCTATGGCGAGAAGTTCAAGGGTGGGTGCCGTTGCGTTGCCTGGTTAAAATGGGGGTGTTAAAGAGGCGCACGCACAGACGAGAACTTCCAGCTCAAGCACACGAAGCCGGGCTTGCTCTCGATGGCCAACGCCGGCCCTAACACCAACGGCTCCCAGTTCTTCATCACCACCGTCGTCACCTCCTGGCTCGACGGCAAGCACGTCGTTTTCGGTGCGTTCGTTTCCTACATCCGCATCCCCATCTGGCTCTCGGCGCTGCATTTCCCGTGATGGTTTCTCGGGGTTTATACCGGGCCTTTCGCGATTCCTTTGGCCGATTCTTTGCGATCCCGATTTCGGGATTCTTCGCGATCCTCTTGTCTTTTCTGCCCCGATTCGTCGCGATTTTGGTGGGCGCGCACTTGGCGCCGAATCGATGACATCAATCGCGCAGCACCACCCCTTGATCTCACGATCCACCCAAATCCCCTTGCATCCATTCCCATGCATTTGCGCAATCCCCACACTCATCTCCACACACATCTTCGCACCCTTGCTCTAATTTCATCCGTACCCCGCACTCTGCTGGTGCCTTTGCTATTCATACCATTGCCATGCCAACTCCACACATTCCCGCTTTCCGCTATTTCCACCCACCCTACCCCGCTTTATTAAATCTCCACCCCACTCTATTTTCGTATTCCCCTATTTTCGGTATACTGATATGACGATGCAGGCGAAGTCGCCGACGGCATGGACCTCGTCACGAAGATCGAGAAGCTCGGCTCGTCGAGCGGCACGCCCTCCAAGACCGTCGCCATCTCGGCTGCCGGCGTCTGCTAGGCGTCTCGTCTTCCCTCCCCTCGCATCGGCGTCGTCTCTTTGGGCGGCCTCGGTGTGACGATCGGAATTCGGGTGTCGAATATGGGGTATGTGAAAACGAACAGTGTGTGAAGTGAAGTGAAGGAAAAACAAACGAGAAGAAAAATAAACTTTGTAGTCGTAGTGTTTGTTATATCGTTATCGAAATGAACAGGGTTGTTCTGTATCTGTCCGCGTTCCTTAAGCTTGCTACTCCTCCCTGGTGGGCGCATCACGCATCGATTGTGGCGCTCCCCTGTCACCGCCCTCCTGATCATGACATGGACGTTGATGCCGATGGCGATGGCGCGCCATCGAACCATCAGTTGATTCTCTGATTCCGTGGCGCGCGGAAAGAGAACGAACGTTCGCCGGCGGGCGAGGAACGTGTCTGCGTCTGCGAGCGGTCCAGCGCTATATAGTATATCGATGGTGAGTTACCTTTGCAGGACGGGACCTAAATTATAAAATGATTCAGAATATATGAATACTGTAATTCCTCGGGTCCGCCTTGTCCGGCAATCCTGCGCGGCGGGAAATACTCCGGGCGCTGCGCTGCGTCCAAAATACCGCACGCGCGCTTGAAAATCCGGTGGGCAGGCGCGCCCACGTGCCAAATGCGGATTAATTGGCAAGGGATGACGTCACGCGCATCGACCTGCTCTCACCTTCAAGTTCGCGACTGTCAATTATGGGCGCAGAAAAAGAGAAAAATATGCTAACATTACCCATTACGGGCCGCAGGTAAGACAGAAAGGAGCGGAGTGAAGCTATTTCTCGTTGAACTGAGAAAAATTCACTGAAAATTTATCGGATATCGAAAATTCCAAATCTTTGAATCTACAGTTGTAATACTACAGTGTGTATAAGGTCAATTAAATTTGTTGTCCCCGACTGCAGTAACTTCAGAGTCCAAGGTGAATGAATGGAACCCAACGCCGAAACGAGACCTTCTTCTCTGTTCGCAATTTCTTGATTGCAAGATGCAACGCCTCAGCAGCCTTGGTGGAGTCAGGATGTGATTCGCGGCCAGTTCCGAAGATATGGTTATAGAAGACGTCTACAACTTTGGGACCATCCTCATCATCCATAGTCCTGTGCGACCCGCAAAGTCAGTTCCACTCCCTAATAACGAAAACAAATTAAACTGACCACATTGTCCCCACCACTCCACGGAAACCAGCAAATAACATTGTAGCCGCAAGATGCATGGCTTCATCTGGGACGTTTTCATCTCCCATAGCCGTTTCGCATGCGCTGAGAAACGCTAAGGATGCATTTTGGATAGGGTTTTGCATGATCTTCGAAACCTTCAGATCTCCATCACCTAAAAGGAGAGCACTTTCAAGTGGATTTGCGAGATCCTGTGATCCATGACATGCAAAGTGAACGAATGAGGCGCCAGGAAGGAGGGAGAGGACTTGTCCAACCGATGTGGGCTCTTCTTTGGTTCCCAATTTGGTCAGCCACGGTACATATCGTTCAATCGTGCCAAGTTCTTTGAGAGCGAATGGTAAGTCGAGACGACGATTACCTGGCATCTCATGCTGAATTACTGCCAACATGTTGGGCTCGTCGACTTTTGTAGGTGGTGATGCCAGCAGAGCATCCAAAGTAGGGGTATATGAAGATATGGCATAATCGGAAAAGGACTCAGGGTTGTCGCCTTCGTATACACCAGCCGCATGGATTGGAAGAAAGGCAAATGGGCCTGTGGGACACCACCAGATACGGGGAAGAATGTCCTGCTTCTGGAATTCGGACAAAGTATGAGCAGAAGAATATTCAGAAAGGGATAAAACCATACAACCTTGAGATTCAGTGCATCAATAATTGGACAAGCCACATCGAACCAAAGCAGTCCCAAGACCGCTCCGAATAAATCATTAGGAGTATGGCCCGACATCGGTAGTCGCACTGCTTTAAGACGAGGGTTGGTACGTATCGATTGGAGGAGGGCTGGCAAGGTATCCGAACGAACTCCATGAGGCGATAATGCCATCCGTAAGATATCACCAAGGCATCGAGTCATTTTGGTTGAAATATCCGGTAGCGGGATATGTTTCACCTCCTTCTGCGTGACTACCAAGGCATCGCATCCAGAATCGGCGGCATTGAGCAAGACTACTGGACCATTACAGGCTGCCTTCTGTAATTTGGAGATAGACTTTGGCAGCAAAAAACCATCGAAGCCTTCCAACTTTCTCACTGCTTCAACGGTATCGTTCCAATCTTTGTTCAGGATGCGACGTTGTGTCACCTCTTTCTCCAGGTTCCTGATGTGCCTTGAGTTATCATGCATAGTCTGGAAGCCATCATGTGCTGATGTGGCCTCGAGTGCATTTGAAATGGTCTGAAGTTTCTGTGCAAGCTGGGGTGCAACAGAGTGGAGTTCATCCAAAGGTGTCCGCAGCTGGAGGGCTTGAGCCCAAAACACAGCTCTCCCTGCACAGAGAAATTCCACAGCTTTGTCAAACTTGTCTTCTCGAATAGCAC